GGTTGAATAATACAGAAAAAACAGTAAATGTGAATAGAAGAAAAGCAGCAAAGAGGAAAACATCAGCTAGTATCTCTTCAGAAACAGTAGCAATTTGTTCTTTAGAAACAGTAGCCACTGATTCTTCAACAGAAGACGAAAGTCAAGCAAGTCAGTCAATCAGCATTTTGACTGGTATGATACCACAACATGTATCTACAGAGCCTCCGCAGCCTCCTAACAATGATTCCCCTAGTTCTAATGAAGAGTCACATGATTGTCCGCATTGTTTCTGGAACCCATGTGTTGTCAATGAAGCCAAGTATGAGCCATTTTGGAGGACAACAAATGCAACTCCATCATTGTCAAACATTATAACAAGGAGAAAACTGTACAAGGAATTTTGGAGAATGATAAACAATCTAGGACTATGGAGACATCCTAACTATTTAACCAAAAAGGCAGCTTCCAAAAGTAGTGACAGAAGTATAATATACCATAAAAGGGAGATAATGCCCACATGTGTTGTCACACAAGTGAGAGAATGGTTCCCGAATCCACCTGGCATTGAATATAAAGGACATGTTTACCAGTGAATGGATATAAGTTCAGCTAGACTTACACAATGAAATATTCTTATTCGGATTAATTAAATATAATAGTATACACATTAACTATAGTAACTACTATTTGGATTATATGCTCTTATAATATTGTTTAGTGGATTATTAAATGAGAAACCAATGCATATATATGTGAGTACAAAATTTTACTGCTATGTTATTGTTTACTATTTTGGTGGCCATTTTTAAAAATCTTGTTTTGAAGGCTGTGATTGGCTCAATCGGTGTGAATTTCTATTGGTTAATGAAAACTACTTTTTGATTGGATAACAGGACCCAGGGTCTTGGTTCTGTGTCTTTAACTAAAGATTGTGAGACAAGGCTGAATCCATTCTCTGACATGGTAGCAAGATGCAGTTGCACGGGTTGTTTTATTCCATCAATGTCAATAAACCTGCGTCCTTTCTCTACAGAAGTAAGTAGTATAGAAATAAACAAGTCACATGTGAGCAGATCTGGACAATATGGTGCATTGGCCAAGGGCTCAATTTTGAGGTCCAGGGATATTGTTTTCTGAACATTTTGAGATCTGTGGGTAGGTGCATTGTCCATATGAAGTAGGGTGTTCCCTTCTCTCACCACCACTTTCTTCCACAATGCTTTCTCAAATTGACTGCAAACCCCTTCCATACAACACTCTGACATTACAATACTTTCTGTTTATGTGTTACCAGTCAGCAAAAAAATTTCAACAACACAACACTTGTTGCATATAAAATGTTCAAATCTAACTGAAATTTACCAAACTGGCTAAAAACTGAATATGTGACGTAAATGTCGGTCCCGGGGTAACTGTACCTCCTTCACGGAAATAAGGATATATCAATATGTATTATATATTTTGTCTTCAAATCTTCAGAATTGATAGATAATTGAATGATGTATCACTGGTAGGAAAATCAAAGGGATTGGTCTATAAAAAGTATCTATGTAAAAAAGCGTCCATTACTTATTGATCACCCTTCGTAGAACTACTTTCTTCATACCACGAAATAAACAAAGAAGTAAGGATAGTACACTCAATATTATAGCATATTAAAAATATTTTGCAACCTGACCTTATCGTGACATCACTCAGGTGGCAACGTCTGAAAAAAAATGAAATTATTTTTTTCTCCGTCAATCTTTTCTTAATATGTCGAACTTCAAAAATAAAGCAGTTTCTAACCAGGTTAAAAGGATATATTATTTTTCAAATATAGTATCATTATACCATTGGATTCAATGACAACTGAAATTTTGAAATACATTTTTCTCTAAACCATTTTCATGCATGGATGACTTCATTTCTCGCTTATTTATGCACCAATTTTCTTAATTTTTGATTGGGCACGTGAAGATGAGTGCTATACATTGTTTTGAATTATCGCTTAATAAAAGATGTACGTGTGACCTCTAAAGGTTTTATAAATAAATTCACGTTTTTTCGTTCTAAAAATAAATCTGGAAAGGATTGAAAAAATCATGTGACAATTAGAAATATATCGGATTGCTAGAAATAAGTCGGGAGAAAAATCAAGGATTACAAAAAACAATTTGAAAAAATCGAGAGAAAATCAGAATTGTTGAAAATAAGTATCAAATTAATTCTATAGTTAACATCAACGGTACAATTTAATCTGAAATGTCAACACCGTGTGCGGATTTTTTTTGGCCAACCCTGCATATCTCAACAAAATCACCAGGAGTCAGAATACTTAGAGCTAGTTAGTTTACAATCCGATAATACATTTCGGTTTAATTATGGTAGTAGGGGTATCCCTAGAATGAAAAAAAACATTTCCGAAGTGTATGCCTATCGATGAATCCCTAACTTAATTATCATGGCCACAATAACATACTCATTTACGCACCTTGAGAAAATACGCAAACCTTTCGAACCGATTTCAACTACAATTAACATATTTAGACATTTCTTGATAGTCTTTGGAATTGCTCAGTATCCTGTTAGCCACCATCTACGACTTCAAAGATGGTTTAAACACAAGTTTGATCAACTTAAACCGTATGAAAAATCGATCATCCATAACTACGTTTTCATCCAAACCTAGAATATTTAAATGTTATTAGACTGTCAAGGAAGTAGACTTGATAATAATTCTGAATTAGCTGCAATCACTAATTATCAATGCATACTAGGGTGTTGGTAGCCCTGCCCAAGTCGGTCTCTTTTAGTTATCTTGATTTCTATTATGACCAATAATTCAAGATCAGATAAGTAAAAAATACCGACTTGGGCAACATGGCAAGGCTGAGGCCCAGGAATACGTTAAAGACAGTATACCTGGGCCTAGGGTGTTGGTTTTTGGTGCAATATTTATCACCGTGTGTCTTGCCCTTCAAAAAAGTGTACTTAAGAAAAAGGTTAGGTCTCAAAAGATCTTTAAACTGTCACAGGGATTGGCTTGAAAATGAATCCAACATTCTCCACGTAACGTAGCAAAATGAAAATAATGATGACCTAATTCTGCAGGTTCAGTTTTCTTTTCATTTTTATCGATCCATAAATTGGCTTGATTGACGTTTGATGGGTCAACTGTGTGTTGCCCACATCCCATTTCATCTCGTCAAATGTCATCCTAATTCCAAAGACGATGTGTCCAATGTTTCTAAGAAATTAACGAAGGCATTGCTATAAAAGGTCATTTTCCCATAAATGGCGTCTTAATTAAATAGCTAAATAGGGGATTCCCCGAAAATGGCGACTATGTTATTTTAGACGTCATTCCATGAACTATAAATATGAGGATATGTTAAGGGGCAGTATGCATAAGGTATTAGACCCAGGCATCACTTACAATCAAAAATTGGGTCTATCGAGAAACACGATTTTCTGAAAAGGGGTATAAGTCTTCTAAAAAATAAGTTGTAGAAAATGTTAGAGTTCACGAGACCCCGCCCCCATTGTTTTTCCATTGAATCATAAAAACGATGATTTATAAAAGAATGAGATCATTTCTAATTCCGGTTAAATGCGCTGAAAGCATTACTAATCTTTTATACTATTTTAGTATTTGTTCTCTAGCAGAGACGTCTTCATTTATGAATTGTAAAGTGAGCACCACACTCTGTGTAGTTCAGTATTGGAATCAGATAAATGCGGTTACCTTTAATCTAAAAGTATCAATGTTAATGTGTTTAGATCAGGTGAGTTTACGCAGTGTCATTTCGGTAAAAATCGAAGTCCAATGGGTGTCATTCCACAATCCTCTCAACTCATCATCTTCAAAGAACACAAATCGTTCAACTAATTTTTAAAATATGATTTAACCTTTTATTTAAAAAATAACTTAACATTTTATAAACTAAGTATCACATACTTAACTATATTCAGTGTTTAGTTAAACAAACTAAAACGTATCATGGCAGCACATTCAGGTTTACAGTGTTGTTGATTTACTTCTTGGTGTAGCCAAAGTAGCCCTACATACAAGGCAAAAAACACCATACAGATCTGCATGTAACCTTCATATGTACTAATCAGCTACATTTTGTGGTATATGGATATGCAGAACTATATAACATGTATACGATCCTAAGGTTACCATTTTGATTTTAATATACCATTTTACTTTGACTGATTCAATATCCCTTCGTTAATTTCAAGACTTATTTGGTACATGATCATTAAAAAAATAAAACTTTTGTTTTATTGGGATTTGTTTGTAATTTCACACTCTATAAATAAAGTTGAACTTTTACGATATCCTTAAGAAATTCCTTATCGAAATTTTTTCCGTCGCGCCATCTTTTAAATCCAGATAGAACAATTCTGATCTACCAATCACAATTATGACTCTTGTAAAATAACATTTAAATAGCTGGTAAATAATTTTAATCCAAATATTCAACCCATCTTAGTCATACCAGGTACCCATATCAATAAACTCTGGCAAAGTACAGTGTTTCAAAAAATGAAACCCACCTAACAATACACAACTATTTTTAGCTGCAAAAGAGTATCAGAAATCTTGATTGACATAATTAAAGTTGATTCAATATTTTTAAGTTGACACTAACATGCCCCAATCTTCTACCATTTTTCTGCACACAGACTTGCACACTTTGTGTGATGTTATTGGCGATATGGGTCTTATACTGAAAGACAATGTGTATGTCAACATTCCTAGAACCATTGCAGAGCTCAAACTAGAGATAACACGGAAGATAAAGATGTTTGCAAGTCTTATAGTAGAGACTTGGTAGCCAGTCACTACAGTGATTTGAAAATGCTCTATTCAAAGAACATTGAACCAACTTTATTTATGCTTCAAGAGATTCCAAGCTCATTTGGTTAAAAAATATGCATTGTTTAAGTATGTGGGTTGCATTTTTTCTAAAACACCATGTAAGTTAATCTCTTTCTAATATCCAAACACTGTCAGCTAAATGCTGAAACTAGAGATAAGTATATCTTTTGCCCTGGGTATCACTTTCGGGCGTATGTCCTTGATGATACGTTGGACGCCCCATGGATCCATATGAAGCATAGCTACTGTTGCCTTGACTACCAGCTTGACCTTCAGGGTATCTATGAGCCCCCGATGGTGAGCCTCTATGGCTGCCATATTGTGGGGTAAATGGACTTTGAGAGGTAGGGGTAGCACGATAAGGACCTTGAGTCAGATGTGAGAGTTCAAGTTTAGGCATAGTTTGTGGTCCCGAATCACGTCCTGCTTGGGCATGTAGTTCATGCATACTCCCTCCAGCAAGAGTTAGATCTGGAGATGGCACGTGTAAGAGAGTTGGCATGCGTGGTAACACGTGTGGAGAGCGATCGGGAGTTGAATTCTGCATTCCTAAAGCTTGATTTCCATGAGGCCATCGGACTGGAGCAGTATGAGATGATAGTGCACTCATAGGTGAATGTCTATGATGTGAGGTAAGTGGGGACGGTACAAATGAAGATCCCATTGGGGAATGTCTATGAATTGAATCCAGTGGGGACTGTGAATGAGCTGGGCCCATAGGAGACATTGCGTGTATGGAACCCAGCGTGGACTGTGCATGGGCGGGTACTATGGGAGACTTTGGTCGTAGAGAACCCAATGGCGACTGGGAGTGACCAGGTCGTAGTGTCCCTTGATGCATAGAACCCATAGGTGAATGGGGATAGGGTTTTCCATACGATCCTAGGGGTGAAGAGGGATGTGAATGCCCCATGGGTGACTGGCGCCTGGACGCCATGGACGCCAGTTGTGAATGATGAGACTCCACTGGTAAGTTTGAATGGTACGACACAGGGCTCTGATGAGACGCTATCGAAGCTGCATGATGGATGCTTGTGTTTCTCGCAAACTCAGCCTGAAGTTTCCTCTCAGTAGCCAAGCTTTCCTGTTTTACCATCTCAGTATGATGTACTCTCCTTTGTAGAATTTCCTTCTGTCTCTGTAATGCTAGCACCTGTTTTGTCCTATCCATGTATTGTTCTTTCTGTTTCTGTAACTCGGTGTTACGTTTTGCTTCATGGGCTTCAGTTAATTGAGCCTGGCGTTCTTTGTTCTGTAGGTGTTGTTTCAGATAGTCATTAGTTCGCAAAGTCTGTTGGTGATCTTTATAATGCTGATACTGCTTCATCATCATTTTAACAGAGCGAGGGACATCCTCCTTTGGAAAGGCATGAGCATGAGCCGAGAGACCACCAAGATGATGGGACTGACTTTGCAATGGTTCAGATTGCTTATAACGTTCCTGGTGTTGTTGAATCTGGTTACTATGGTTACCAACTTGTTGGTTTTGATTGTGATACAATGATGCATTGGCGCTGGATCTTTGGGCAGTAGATGCTACAAAAGCATTCATATATCCTGTCACATTCATATCTTGATTGGTGTTACGAGTTCCTGTGGTTATACTACTCGTATTACCAAATGGTATCCCACTCTGTATTCCTGGTTGATGTAGATCTATAGGAGGCCTATCTATATTTTTAGTTTTCTCAGATATTTTGCTATTTGTTTTTGTAAAGTCTAATGGTTCATCTTGATGTTTTGAAGGATGTTTTACTACTTCAGTCATATTGTTTGACACTGATTGTTGAGTCATTGGAATGTTATATTTAGATGAAACATCTGATTTGCTTACATTGCTGATTCCATGAGATTGGGGTAAATGGGGTAGAGCTTCCGCATTGCCGTATTTGTGTGATTGGGGTAACTGTGAATCATGGACGTTTGTGTTTTTATGAGTTCTTGGATGAGGGGAATTAGTGTAATCAAACCCAAATCTTTTGCTGGATGTATCACATAAGTTATTGGTTCCATTCTTTTTAGAAGTGTCCTTAAATTCATATTCACTAACAACAATGTTTTTATGGTCGCCAGTCTGACGTACGTTGCCTGGCAACATAGGTTTATTGCTTCTGTGATGTATATGGTTATTAGGATCAGTTTCCTTTCCATATACTTGTGAACTCGAGGAAAGTTCAATAGGTTGTTCATCTGGTAGAAGGACGCCTGTTTCACTGTCCAAAATTAGCGAGTCTGAGCTCTTGTTCACTTTATTCGAGCTTTGTTCACCATCATGATCACTGTCACTGTCCAGAGATATTTCTTGCTCGGAAACATCATAATCAGAATCATGGACGCCATTTTGTTTTTCTTTTTGACATTCTCTTCCAGAAGATCCAAGTTGGCCTCCATTTGCAACTAATAAGTCATTCTCGTATATTTCGGTTCTGTCTGATGCATAGCCATCTTCTGAGACTTCTGTCTTGATAGCAACCTTCTCAGGGACATTATTTGATTCTTCTTGGGTTCCATGCTCATCTGAATTGAAAACTTCAGATTTTACTTCAGGTTTGATTTCAACCTTCAATGGTGGAACATACGGTTTCAGTTCATACACACTCTCAGTTGTAACTCCTAATATATCATTCACTCGAGCGTCTAACCTTACCAATTCCAAATTGAACTTTTGTTTGGGTATATCTTTCAACTGCTTTGTCATAATTGGGGAATGTTTTGTTCGTTGGCTCATCTCGTCCAATGACATGGTGTATATGCTTACATCCGGGTATGTCTTCCTAAAGCTCTCATTGGTCAATTGAAGCTGTTTGATCAGTTCCTCAAGTAGAATATAATTTCCAAGTCTGGAATAAACAAACAAAATCGATCAATATGGATACACAGCACGATAAAAATGTTAGATTTCGATTTAAAACTAGAGTGAATTCTGAGAATTGTAGATATGATTCCGGATATATGAATAATTGTTACTTTATATTTATCGATGATTATTTGACGTTTGTTTGAAATTCTATGAAATTGTCTTAATCGTCTTAATCATTTTCACACAAAACTGAAGTGCGGACCAATAGCAATATGTACGCACAAGTGCAAAAAAGTTGTTACAAAACCCAGCAAGAAAAAAAACAAAACACTGAAGTGTACACCAGTAATAAGAAAACCAGATTCCAACTATCCCAAACCATAATCCAACATGAAAAAACAGTGTCTAATGCAATCCAATGCAAATGCGTAGTAAAAAATGAAAAACATATAATGACAAGTCGTACATACTCTGTAAAATATAACAACTTTTAATTTATTCATTAACTGTTTATACTACTCACCCCTGATCTGGAAGTTTCAAAGAATATGATGGGATGTGAGGTTTGTCAAAGAAATCAAACAACATTCCTCCCTCTTCCTCAAATGGGTTCTCAGCCTCCTCTGGATCACTTGGTACATCATCAAATATATCAAAACCAGAAAGGTGTTTATCTACAATGAGAAGCATTTGCGATTTGCAAGACATGTACACCTGATTCCATCGTTCCAGTGGTAAAGAAATAAATTAAGTTGTTCTACACATTGTATGTTTAATACTTCTCATACAGGTTACATTATAATATAGACTGAACACAATTCCTGTCGTCCTGACTTGAAATGCGGGTATAGAAATAAAAGAAGTTTTTCTATATTTAATACCATTGATAAATGACACATTATTAGTATAAAGACTGAGCACAATACCTGTCTTTGTATACTTAAAATGCCAATGGATTGACTTGTCAGATTTATCACATCCATTCAAGTCTGCAAAATATCCTTTCAGGAAATCTTTCATTTTCTTTGTTTTAGCGATCTTCTGAGGAGTCCTACCACTGTATGTTGATAGAGTCGGATCTGCACCACACGATAGCAGCAACCTAGATGGAACATTGATAAATTGTGAAAAGTTCAATATCTTTAAAAAATAATTGGATTAATCTATGAATATAGTCTTACCAAGAAGCAACGGGGAGGTTAACATACAGTTTTAAGAAAACGTGTATGTGAACGTGTAGAATCATCGGGGGTCGAAATATTACACGCTCACGTACAGATTCTCTTAAACGTGTAACTTAACCTCTTTAAAACGCCGTAACCACGAGGTTGCGAGTTCGAGACGCGCGTGCTCTTTGTGTTTATTCATTTATCAAGGACTATACATATGTATATTTAAATTTTTCATAATTTTTCATATATTATTCATCGATGACATGAAGAATGCTCAATAGTTGTTCAGGTTTTTGTAGCATTCAAACAAAATAAATCACGTATACAAAAAGTCGTTTTGTGGGGAATAATAGAGTGATGGAGAAGACCTCTGGCCTTTTTGAAGATTATACGATGGGAACCAACGCAAGGTTTATTACGGATTCCATATGTATAATATATAGATATAACAAAACAGCCCAGACTAAGACTAATATTAACACATTAACACTTTGATGGCAACATAAATTCAAATTCAAACATATATTTTTTATATGCTATTAACACCGACGGAGAGTGTATCTGAATGGGCACATTGAGATTTAATACCATGATAAAACATATGAAAGATCCCATCTAAATGAAATATCAAAATCGCTATAAACCATGAGTATAAATGGGGATCAAATAAACATAAATGTATAATATAACATTTTTACAGTGGAAATTGTTAGGCGATTTTGCCATGGCAATGGTGGAAAATTTATGCATGATTTCTGAAATAAATGGTGCCTAGAATAGAAAAAAATATATATAGATCGACTGAAATATGTGAGAACGTTGATTTATTAAACATAATGGTTTGAAAGCACACATTTACATGTAAAACACAAGATACCGTACCAGTATATTATAGATTATACATATTACTACAAACTATAAACAAGAGCTTGTAAATGTGGTGAATATTCTTAATCCAAACATCCATAATTATGATTTTCATTCCTAACATCACCGACCACAGAAATACACTACATTTGCATTGCATTAAAGGTAGAATCATAAACAGGAGAAGTTTATTTTCAATGTCACAATTTTTGAATGTCGCAATTCCTTCGCGACCTGTTAATGGAATTCAAAACGTTCATGATTTACTTGACGTGAAAATTAATCTAGATGTTACAAATCGTCCTAATGTTCCAGACGCCAGACATTGTCTTCCCTATGTTCTCATCCAAAGATCGTATCAATTATAAGGTCTATTTCTCGATGATCCTATCGTAAAATCATTCCACTAGTGCTACCCTAAAAGCTTTCCACTTTTCCAAACTTCGAGTCTTCCCAATAGTTCCATATTAAAACCTTTCCACTAGTACTCTCTTAAGGTCTTCCCACGTGTCCCACCTTAAGGACAACAATTCTCAGAGATACGAGATTAATAAGTTAAGTGCTTTAATCTATTGACGTTTATATCTGCCATTCCTGTTTTAACTGTTATTTCTATTTATATTACTCAAGGTGCAAATGCAACTATCCAGAATAACTCAGGGGTTTATGTTTGTTTAAGAGTACATGTGTATACACTTCGGTTGTGGTTTGGGCTGTGTAAACATAATATAGTAGACAGCAATGAGAATATTGAAATATACAAAAATTAATCATTTATGTTCATCATTTGTGAACTGAAATTAAGCGTTTCGCAAACTACTATTGGTGAGTTATTTTCATGAAACTGCTAATTAATACGAAATATCATGTTTCCTTGAAAGTCCGATGACAGGTTATATGCAAAGCAATTCGTTTAGAGCAAATATATTTTTACGCGGTCAAAACGAAATAACTGACTTTTTTTAAAATAGTTAGAAGTATGAAATAAAGTAATATCTTTATGTGATACATAATAAAAAATACATAATATATCATTTTATAATTCAACGATTATGATTAAAATACGGGCACGATGTCATTCATGTACACTCCCCTCGATGTCATTCATGTACACTCCCCTCGATGTCATTCATGTACACTCCCCTCGATGTCATTCATGTACACTCCCCTCGATGTCATTCATGTACACTCCCCTCGATGTCATTCATGTACACTCCCCTCGATGTCATTCATGTACACTCCCCTCGATGTCATTTATGTACACTCCCCTCGATGTCATTCATGTACACTCCCCTCGATGTCATTTATGTACACTCCCCTCAAAAAGTCTAAATACCGGAAGTCCTCTTTCGGACCATGTGTGCAAACATTTGTAACATACTGTAATTGAAAAAGACCTACATAAAACTGTAGTTGATGTGTTTATATTCATGCTTTATCTTCATCAAAACCATCTGACAACCCTTTTCCTGTTGATAAGTAGATCTTGAAACGTGTTTATGTTTTACTGATAAACGTTAAGTTATATCATGTTGAATAGTAAGTGCTGTTCAAAAACTTATATCAACTATTTGTTCTAATTTCAAATTAAAACTGTAAACGAAAAACAAGAATATTATAGGCATACGGTGAAGTGAGCCTGTCCTTATTAGTTATTTATTTATTTATTTATTTTCGTCTCACAGCAGATTTATTTTACAGATACTAGTAGTACTAAAATGTCATAAAAACACTGTCCCAGCCAGTGCGGCTTATGAGAGACGTTTCATACATGTATATTAAAAGTATTGCACATATAATTATATCAAATGACTGTCGATCAATAATTTGTCACATAGGCTAAATCATTGCCCATATAGCATAAGATACAATGTAGTAGTTTCTAAAAAATGAATAAATACATTAATATTTACTAACTACATAATCTTTGTTTATCACATATTTGTTTGTCTGTGTTTGTACATAAGGAATATAGTTTTAGATACAATAAAAGCCATCTCTGGAGAAGTACTCAGGGTTATAAACTGGTCATTTTTACTTTTTTTTAGGAAGTCAGGGTTGCTGCTTTGAGCTTCTGATATCATAATGCTTCTTAAATCCTCATAGGCCGGACATTCTACGAGGAAATGTTGTTCATTTTCAATTTTATGATCATCACACATTTCACATGTCCTGTCTTCAAGGGGTGTCTTGGGTTTGGTGAATCTCCCGGTTTCTATTTTTAGTGATAAAACTCCACATCTTAGTTTGGAGAATGCACTTCTTTGATATCTAGGGAGGTTGATTTTTGTATAGCTTTCAGGCTTAAACTCATTTTTGATTGTTTTGTAAGTTCTTAGTTTATTATTTGGTCCTATTTTACTCAGTTCTTGTGTCCATTTTTCTGCATCAAACTTTGAGACTTGTTTTTTGAAGGTTGTCATTGGCGTTGATAAAGTAGTATTTCTATATTTTGCTGATATTGATTTTTTGACGTAAAATGTCCAATTTTTCATTCTATGGGTATCAGCTTGTTCATTTGACCAGTTGAATATTCTTTTGTTTATCCTCAAATTTGTCATTTTATCCAGCCTCTGCCATAGTCATACTGTTTCAATATCTTGTCGTGATTCCATTGATAGCCATCCCATGTCTCCACGGGTGGCTAGAGTTGGTGTTGTTGTAAATGATACCAAAAAATATTTCAAGCTGAAGCTAGAGACGCTAAACAATCACGAACAATCATCTTTAAGAACATTGATAACTGTCAGTGTTAAAAAAGTTACTCTCAAAATGCAATTTATTATAAATTAATCGTTCTATGAATCATATTTTAACCATTGGAGCATTAACAAGTACAACCTAACCGGCAACTTTTATCATTCCAGAATTCTGAATTGTTTACTTTGGATATTAAAAATTTACAATGAAATTCTATGCCAAAATCTAAAATATCTCTGGAAAAACGTGGTACAACTTAAAAACTATCATTATTAGAAAGTTATTTTAATTTCATTTTAGGTAAGAGTCAGTTAAACCACTACATAACAGATCGTCACTTTAAGGAACACAATGATTAGTGACGCCATCTATTGGTTAATATTAATGGTTTATGATGCAGCGCTCTTGTTTTTAGACATGGGTTTCGTTTTAGAAGGGATTAATTAAAAACGTAATTTATTACTTTTATTTTAAGGCTGTTCGCGTTTTAGACTCCTGAAATAAATATGTATTTGCCCACATTCCCACAATCGATTGTGACTGAACAATCCATAATGAACGCGTCTTACCTCACAATTTCAATCATGTCATTCTCGACCGCATCATGTATGGGTCTTATGCCATCCTGGGAGCTGACATTAACATTGGCACCGTAAGCTATGAGGTATTTTGCGATGGTAAGCTGTCCAGCGACGCAGCATTCGTGTAGAGGAGTATACCCAGCGTTGTCCCTAGCATTCACATCTTGGTATGCAGTTTTCAAACAGTACAATGTAACATCCTATAAAAATGGTAAATGTGATTCATTGATAATAATGTATTCTGGTATTTATGTATTAAAGTAAAAGGTGGATATCCGACGCAGATTAAATTGAAAAATTCCAGGAGACTATACAGTTAAAACAAACATATACTTAACACAGAAATTCCTCCAAACATGCACCATGTAGTTCTAATTTTAGTATTTAACTCTTTCCCATTTTCTTAACAATGAGATTACAGAAATATTTAATATCTGGAATCCCCGAAAAAAGGAATGTGGAAATTTCCAACAATGAACTTAGTTGAAAATTATATGAACTTTAAATTACACAAATGGACCGTTACCTCATGCCCAAGTCTGGCTGCTTTATGAAGAACAGTTTCACCCCAACTGGAATTCACATTTATCTGCTTCAATCTAGCAGGAATTGGAATTTGTTGATCTGAACTACTAAATCCACGCTCTGGGATGACTTGTTGTTCAGGGTTGTTGTGTTTCCCCAGGTTACTATGGTGTCCAATATTACCATGTTGACCAGAGTTGCTATGTTCTCCCAAGTTACCATAGTGATCTGAGCTGACGTTTTGATCCTGTTTTGAAGTTGATGGTTGGGGTTCACTAGGTGCATCCTGTTCTTCCTGAATATTCAAAACAGCAATGGAAATTTCCATCAATATTATTTGAACTGAATGGAAAATTCCACTTCTTTATTTAAACTCATGGAAAATTTAATGACACTCTCTAATTTTTGTATTGCATGTTAGTGTATAAACAGAAAGTACTTTACTTTTGCCTTGGTCACATTTGCTCCGATTTTCACTACGGCGCCCGGGCGATTGAGTATTTTGTTCAAAATCGAATACGATATTGAACAAAACATTCAATCGGCCGGGCGCCGGCCAATGGATCGGAGAAAATGTGACCCAGGCATTATCATAGTAATCAGATACATGTATACAGGAAACCCTGACATACATGATGGTGAATGATTATACCAAATAAAGAGACAAAATGTTAATTGTGAATTGTACTAACCTGTGTTTGTACAGACGACACTTTCTCAATTATCTCATCAATTGACTGAGAAGACGCTTTCTCTTTCAATTGAAGACTTTTCAAATACACAGGCCTCTTATCTAAATGTAACCTCAGTCGCCCCGTCAGATCTGCAATACGAGTTTTAGACGATCCCTTCTTACGCCCTGGTGACCTTTTGGGTGATTTGAGGCTCGGAGATGTCAGAGCTTTTGGTGGTGATATCGAGAGTGGCTCAGTTAGGTTTTCTAGTTTACGTTCATTCCGCTGTCTGCGTAGTGTCTCTAGTTTGTTCTGTTCTTTTTCCAACGAGGTCTCATAGGCGCTGTCTTTGTGATAGCTACTGGAAGACCTGCGTCTTTTCTGACCTGTTTTATCCAAATATGTTCAAAAATCTAGTGGTAAAGTGAATTTTATGATTGTTTCATCCATTTGGCATAGCTAGACGAAAATATTATTTCTCTATATCTAGTTGTACAAGCAATGGAAGTTCTAAAAAACGACAAATCTGTCAGATATCGATATTTTTTTAAAACGTTATGAATATATTTGAATTTATTACATGATAAAGGCCACATACCTGTATTTGGTGAGGCATCATTATGCTTTTCTCCACTGCCTCCATTCTGTAACCTTTTATCATGGATTGCTAGAACAAAAGTATAACAATTCAAACCAAGAACGAATATATTATCGAATATATCATCCCACTCGCATGTGTTTTTAGCGCATCTCTAATATGGATAAGCCATCGCTTGTTTCGTTCAAAATACATTTAGTCCCGGGTGTTTACAAACAATGAAGAGGGGGTCATATTTGACAATGGCCCAAGTTACACAAGGAAAGGGATGGAGGACGTGACACTGAAGAGCTTTGGGACATGCTACTGAAAATGATGTCTTCTGCAAATTACATTTTACTAATATTGCCAAACAGAACACAAAGGTGAAGTATTGTATTTCACAAGGAAATGTTCATATTTTGACGCAGATTTTTATACCTAATAGTTCATATTATATAATATAGTAGTATGTTATATTATTTTACAATAATTGACTGTATTTTCACCTTTAGCATCTGCATTCCTGGAATGTAGCACAGCCTTCTTCCTAATCTCAGCAGCCTGGAAAAAAGAAAGTTCAAATGGTGTCAAATATTAATTGATGCTTTAAGGTAGGTCACGTGGTGCATCATTGAGGCCTTTAAGGTAGGCCCCATGGTGCATCATTAAGGCCTTCACGGTAGGCCCCGTGATGCATCATTAAAGTCCCATGGTGCATCATTTTTGGCATTTTCTCAAAGCAACATTTTTGATTTTTGACATTTTTAAAGTACATAGAGGCCTCTGTGTATTTTCATTTAAAAGTTGTAAACTGCATCCCATCCTAGTGGGATTTGAACTCTGATATTGATTTCTAGATGAATGCTCTTCACTAGGATATGGATCAGGTAGAAATATTCTCACACCATCATTTCACCATTGTAGTCATTAGCCAATGTCATAGCAGTTCGTTCAGTGCTATTAAGCCTTCCCAAGATAGGGGTACGCACTGAACGAAATGGTACACGGATATTGCCATGTGCTACATGATGTAAACCGTTCAGGCAGGGTCTACTTAATTTATTCTATTTGTCTGTGCGGTTCAAATCTAACACAGGAATTATTACTGTATATAGTGGTACCTTTTTACTAGTGTTCGAAAATGGACGCCCTCGTTTCCTTGGAGCAATTGTCAGAATGTTGCCATTATCAACAACGGCTTCTTCGTGGGTTTCATTAGTTGTGTGGTCATCTTGTACAATGTGCGCAGCGCCATCTGAGTCATTATCACTGTGTGGGACTGACTCAAGCTCAGAAAACTGCATCATTGCCCGCTGAAGATATTAAATGATTATTTGGAAACGTGAAGCTTAAAATGGTTCCCAGAGGTCCACTACGCTCCCCTAAAGTCACAGCGTCGACAATCGAACACAAGATGATTCTTGCTTACGTAAAAATGTTAAACAGAATGAATACACGCAAATCTAACGTGTTTCTAAGAGGTGGACAATGTGACATTCTGGAAAGCGGTGAGATTTCGGGTGCATACAAGCAGAACTATTTTCAATTCAAGGTGTCGCGTCCAAATGTCAACAGTTGTGGACAAAGTATCTTATTTCATCATGATTTAACACCCTTCCCCCTCCAAGCACTAGATTTGAAAGAATTTCAAAGTGAAAGGTTACTTCCTCAATCATTTCTAAACGGTAAATGTTTACCTATACATCATATGGAATACTTTATTTTCCACAACAGTCGATATTTCGACGCGTTTCCTTTATTCAAGCAGCGCGAACTTCAATCTATTGTTTCATGTTTTAAACAGTACAGCGGTGGTGGCCTTTTTATAGCAGGGGCGTAATGTGATGAACTGATTTGTGTTACGATATTCTTACTGTTTTGCATGCCAAGGTGGTTGTCCTAGGTGCCATGACATGTGATGTATCACGTGACGTTACGTCAGAGCTTACAGATATTGGTAACCTGCACAATTTTATCTAAAATGAATGTAGATGGATGTAATTTCTTTATATGACTATGCAAAAATATAAAATCTGTTATTAAAAATACCAGATATATACCCACATTAAACTTAAACAAAGAGAATTAATGATAAATAAATCCATGGTGAATTTCCCAAAACCAAACCAAGTTAATTGTATCTAGCCCCATATAAGGAAGCACTAAAAGCAAATTAACACAAGGCTCGTGAAAATGTATGTAATTACGGTATGATCCTCAATAATGAAAAACTAAATGATCCAACTTATATAAAAAATATTAGGTATATCATGTAAATTCCAATATCCTAAATGTTGAAAATGAAAAAAATAAAAGAATAAATTAAGCGATACGAAAAACACCCTGATAACAATATGTTATATAATGTAAATTCTAAAATGCCACCACCGATGCAATCGTTAAAACATTAATGCTATTGATTAAACACATATGATATGCGCATTGGGTTATCTTAAATTAATCACGTAATTATTTTTGTTCATGGTTATACAATTATATAGTGATCTGTAGTGGATAATTTTCATGAAAAATACAGGGAATACAATTAATACTCGATAGAAATCCGGCTATACTTAGAGGGCATTGAACGAACATTGATCTGGAGTCTGTAATTAAGTCTGCTGTATAAAGGGGAGAGTCCCAACAGTACCAACGCTTTAAAATAGCACCATGGCTCATATATCATTGAATCGGATTTCTGATTTATTACTCACTTCTGATATGAAAAATGTCAAGCGCTGAATTGATACAACGAGATATATGGAGTTGTTATGGCGTCTAATTTCGTTATGGTTGATTATCCATAATATAGAATTAAAAACAGAAACTCTGAACATGTAAAGCCAGACTGGAAACCGAATATATATGTTTATGTTTTTGAAAATTGGAGGTGATATGATTGTTGCATCATTGGTTATTATGTTTAGATACAAAGGCTCAAACGTATCAAGTATCAACTTTATATAGGTAGAACGAAAATTGTAAGAATCTGTCTTTGCAAAAGCTAAACGCTATCTGGTACAGTGCAATTAATGCATTTACAGATATCAATAAAACGAACCTGTAACCAGCGTTGTTCCCTATCAAGTTCCGATGGATCTGCAAACAGGCTTTCGGCAGTTGACCTCCTCCGTCTTTTCGTCTCAGGCACGAAGCCTGCTGAATTCCTCAGCTCGTTCAACATTCTCTTTGCTCGCGCTCTTCTGAATCTTGGAGATCGTGACTTTGGGGAGCGAGGGGACAATTTTGGAGATCTGGGTGATAGTTTGGGAGACCTTGGCGATAGTCTTGAAGGAGACAGCGGAGTTCCTGGTTTTGTACTTGATATTAATCTCCTTGGAGATCGCGGAGAAAGGAGTGGTGATCTCGGGGAGATTCTTGGAGATCTAGGAGATAACATTGGAGACCTTGGAGAAAGCCGTGACTGCTGATCTTTTGGGGATCTTAAACTGAACCCCTTGGATTTGGGGGAAATCCCCGAACCTTCACTTGGTGAGAATTCAGGTATTTTAAATTTGTCGGATTTGAATTTTCTGCCAATCGCAGATAAATCCAAAGAGAGTTGTTTTCGTTTGGAATGATTTGAACTGTCATAACTTGCTCTTGTATTTCCATCTTCGTCTGGTTGATCATCAGCATCTACAGATGTATCCCCAGATGGTTCCACAGCTGCTGTATCATCTCCTGTAATCGGTTTGGTTGGATCTTCTTTGGAGATACTCCCAGCTCCCCTGGGAGATTTATTTCCTGATTGTTCTCTTAGGGACCTAAATCTCTGAGGGGACATTTGTCTCTGGAGATCTTTTCTCATTTGCATCACATTTCTCATTAATGGTGACATTCCCTTAAGCCTCCTCGGAGATTTCGATTTTGCTGGTCTTGAAGTTGGAATACTCATTCCTGGTTTAGATGACTCGTTAGATTTATCCTTAAATCCGTCATTAATGTTGGTTTCTTCAGTCTCTGGTTGTGTGTTGTTCCTGTGTTCATTTGGAGCTGGTTTTTGTACAGATTGTGGTTCCCATTTCGAAAAACGTTTTTCTTGGTCGAGCTTCATATTCAGTTTATACTTACTCTTGTCGTATTTTTTACCAGGTGGTCGAGATCTATTTTGAACCCGGATTGATGACCATATATTACGTTCTGCACCCGGAGAGTTAGTGCTCGAACTGAGCTTCAATTCCTCTTTGGAGACAGATGATTTCAAAGGCCACGAACTTGATAATGAATCTACTGTGTTCTTCACTTGCTCTTGGGGTTTTATACTTGATGCATCGCCCTTCCCTTGCATATACGAAGGCCCAACTGTGATTGAGTTCTCTAGGTCTTCCATGCTAGTTTCGCTGAGCTTAGATGTACTTGAAGGTGACGTCATCGCATTAGCCGTGCTCGTGCTTTTTGGAGGCGTACTTGGTTCAATCAACCTTGGTTTCAGTTTTTCGCTGATTTTGTCAAGGAATTTTTGTGAATCTTTTCCAAATGTCTTTGCAAATTTTATTGAAAATTCTGTAGTGTCAATCTTTGGTCGATCCACTAGTTTTGTTCTTCTTGAGCGTTTTTTGTGTTCCTTTGATTCACCATCTCGTTTAGTGTCTGCATCATGTTTATTTACCTCATCTTCAGTTGTCTTACCTTTCTTATCAACAACTTTTTCAAACTTAAGCGCTTTCTTCGACGCTACCTTCTTGCATCTGGTTTTGCCTTGTATAAGCTGAGCTGGAATTCGCAGTGAGGTTTTGTACTGAGCGACCTCCTTCATATCCCTTGGGGAGAGATGTATCATTTGTTTCTGGCCTTTTTTCTGTGATGATCTCTTTGACTTGTCATCCTTTTTTGAGACGTCCACATGTTGCACGATACTAGTTGCACTGTATACATCTCCTCGCGAGGGGGATGAGTTTCTTGGAGATCTCGGTGATTTTGGGGGCCCACTATACATTGGCGGTGGGGTATTTGCCCGCTTTGAAGTACACATAAATGCGGATAAGTTAGTTACACCTTTAGGAGGATTTTCTATTGCTTCCCCTCTTGGTTCATTATCAATAAGTTTAGTGTCTGTAACTTTGATAAAGATGTTCGTACCAACAGGTGCATCGAGAGGACTTAGAATTGGCATTACAGGCGATAACTGTGGAGAGAGATCTGTACTGAAATCACTTAACTGAAGAGTTGGCGGTGAATCCAAGCGTAACTTCATAGATGGCTTCTTACTATTGATTGTATCTTTTTGGACGACTGACATTGTTGGCTTCACATCAGAAACTGGTGCAACGAGATCATCATTGATTTTAATATCATTTTTTGTTCGTTCAATAGTATCATTAGGATAGTTAATACTACAGACGCTATTAGTACATGCTTTTTTAGATCTATCCTCGATTAAATCACCATTGGGCGCATTCTTGTTTTGTTCAGCTTTATGGTTATCTCCACTCAAACTGTTGGCATTAGCAGAGTCAAGATCAATATCTATTGATTTTGTATTATTTGAACATAATTTTGTATCATTAGTATTTGATGATGATTTTGTATCATTTGATGCTGATATTGTATTTTTCTTTACACCAGTATCTGGTGGAAACTCAGGGCTGTTATCGCTTTGCTTAACCACTGTAGTGTGTTCATGCTCACCTTCATCATCTATAGATGTTTTATTAAGACCTGGAGATGGTACAGTTTGTAGTATGTTACTCTGTTCTGATGCCCTATCTTTCACAAGGGAATGCTCATTAATGCCAGGCCTATCTGTTAATAATTTTTGTTTATCAGATGGACTTAAAATCCCTTGTTCTACCAGAACATCCTCATTAACAACAGATCTTACCAGCGCCTCTTGAAATGACTGAGGCTCATCTTTATCACTATTATTAGAATTCTCATTTTGCTTATCATCATCATGTAAATATCTAGAAACCAGCTTTGAGTGTACTCTTTCCATTGATGACACAAGACTTGGTATGTTTACTCTGACTTTCCCAGGTTGAGGCTGCGTCTGTGCTGATGTCACACAAGACACTTGGGTAGGAGACCCAAGGGAGGTATCAGGTGATGTACTAGAAGTAGTGGAGGATGATGGGATGGATGAGGCTGCATTGTATGGTACGGGTTCTTTTACCTTCAGCAACATCGATGACTGATGACTATTGGGGCTTAGTGATGTACCGTGAGATGTTCTTGGAACAGCATATGGTAAAGTTGACTCCTTTAAGTGTGCACTTTGGTGCGCTGTAGGTTTACTGTTCAATGTAGAGCTTGAGACGTTAGCCAACGAAACGTTTCCATCTAAGTAAATAGATGGTTCATTTGAGGATAGATCTCTGAATGAAGACGAGGTAGAATCTATTGTAGGACATTCCTTGACAATGTTTCCTTTTTGAGGTGATCTACTTGAGGTATACATCGCTGGGAGAGTTCTTTGGGGAACGCGCAATTCTTGCATTTTTTGATATAGCAGTGACGCTGTTGTGGTGGTGGTCTGGCTAAATGTAGCCGCCATCATTTGCAATTGTGACAATGAATTCTGGAGGTCCCTTTCCGGATTACCACTCAATGACGACATGCTTTGTTTTGGAAGGTTAAACATTTCAAATATACTAGAGTTTCTCTCTTTCTGATCAACAGAACTTGATGTGGTGGATAAACTTGATGATACATCAGAATCTGCTTTTGCTACGGAGAGATTAACATCTGAATCGGGGTATTCTCTCTTTGAACCATCACTCGAACTTTCACTTTGGTGTTTTACACCAGGTACTTGCCTGATCGGAGATTCGTTTGGTTTTATTGGTTGATCCATTCGTTGAGTCTTTCTATGAGGGGATTCCGTTGATCTGATTGGTCGATCACTATGTTCACTGTTATAATACCCTAGGTTGTCATTAGGATGTTTACCAGTTGATACTCGACTATGAATTGGAGTTTTAGAGGTTCTAGCCTGGACGCTTGCTTCCATTTTGAGCATTTCAGCAATTTGTTTTGCTTTAGCTAAGTCTTCCTTTTGAGCCTCTGGCTGAACATTGTTCTGATATTTATCATATACAGTTTTGTTAGGTGGGTTAATTGTATCAGCTGTACTGTATTTATAGTGTATCAATCCAGGTGGAATGAATGCAGTTGGATCCCTTTTGCCATGAGGATGTTCTGCCTCTTGTTGTTTAAACTTTGAAGGGTCGTGCCTTTCAGAAGGGTGGCTATCACTAGTTGGTGAAACTTTATGTCTGATATGCTGATGTTTATGATTCTCAGTTTCAATATTATGAGATGGTATTCCGTGGTGTTCAATTACGTTCATATGAGGTTTTGCTGCACTTGGGGTCATATAGGCAGGTGACAGCTGCGCTTTGCTAGCAGAAGAGGGTCCTAAAGGAACATTCCAAGGATTTGAGCTTTTATGAGATTTATATTTATCTACTTTTTGGCCGTGGTGGAATCCTTTTGAAGCTGCTATACTGTGCACTCCTTGGTGATTAAAGTTTCTTAATGGCTGTGATGTATGTGCTTTGTCGTCAACATTTCCCGTTCTGAAATACCTATCAGGTCTTGTTACCTTACTAGAGGAGTATCCACTCGTAAAGCCGCCCGTATCACTTATCTGATTTTTAGTACTGTTTGAAACCGTAGTACCATAGTGGGCTTGAGTAAGAGGTCCCATGTAGCCCTCTTGTACCTGAGCAAATGGGTTATTTCCAACAAATCGTTCTCGAACTGAAGTACTTCGGAATGATTCACAGTTCTGGCGTTTAGCCTCTGAATGGGGTTTCTTATTTGGAGGTGATACCCCAACGCATATGACGTCATCGTCAGACGCATTTCCATCCGTTGTATCGGCACTTCGTTTTCTAGTCTTACAAGATAAATCCAATGGACTGTCACTAGTCCTTGAGCTCTTATATGTCATATTGTACTGCATGTCTCTGTCTGGAGATTCATTGTCTCTACCATGCTGTACGTTGGAGAGATCCAATGGAGCATCCGACTGTAGCATGGTATGCGACGCAGGTGGGACGCTTTGAAATCTATCGAATATATTTTGAGCTCTGTAAATTGAAGACGTGTCTCTATGATGCGTTGACATGTCTCTATGGTGAGTTGGTGTGTCTGTATAACGTGGTGACATGGCTCTATGATGCGGTGATCTCTCCATTTGATATGGCGACATCTCCATATGACGTGGTGACAGGACATTATGGCGGCCTGGTATTTCTATTTGACGTGGTGACAAATCCCTATGACGAGGTGACACTTCTTTATGGCGAGGTGACACTTCTCTATGACGTGGTGACACCTCTCTATGACGTGGAGACACGTTGTGTTGATGTGGTGACACACTAGATTGATGGGGTGATATGTACGCTGGGTGATACGGTTGATTCCCTTGTAGTCCTGACGTCATCATCTGAAAGCACAAAATGTTGGAGATTAGCACAAAGTAAAACAGTTATAAGAACACTGTTGATCGAAATAAAGCCAAGTAGAAATGAATGCAAAACATATTATCGTTGAATGCAGTAAGTCGTAACTTCTCATTAATCGATAAATTAGCAAAATGGGCCGTTGTATGACACGGTTCTACAGTTGAAGTGACAATTAAGCAATAACCGCAGTGCAATCATAATGGAAATTACAAAAACATTAAACATACTTCAGAGACCAAGAACGTTTACTCATATACCACGGCGCGTATCTTGAATAATAGGAGTTTAAGCTTGCAATGTTTTTCACAACTTAAACGTGGACGGAAAATATTTAAGCGATGCATTTGTACGGGCGATTGGTCATACGTATCGTTTGGCGTTTCGATTTTATACGCAAGCTTAAACTCCCTATTGTAGAGGTATGAATACAGTACTTGGAATGACAATTTTATTTTGTTAAGTCACAATTCACTAAAGTGCATTGACAATGGAGTAACGCGATGAAGATTCTTTACAATCGTAAATATGACATTACACTGTAATTAATACATACGTGTTATGTTATTGTGTGAAATCATGCTTCATTAACTATATATGACCATGAAATGTAAAGTAAACATATTGATTTTGGGAGGGTAAAGTAAAATCTGGTCTGATTAAATCAAATAGATTTTTACTTTGGTACCATTCGCAAATTCAATTGCCGGCTGGCGGATAAGCCTGCTATTTTATGGCAAACTCATTTAAATATGAATAGTACTTGCCATTGTACTATACCATTCATATTTAAATGAATTGGCCGTAAAAAGTAGATTAAATCGTTAACATGTTTTATTTTTAGTCTTTGTACGCTTGCATAAACATATATATATATATTGTAATGGCCTAACGTGCAATGCTTTTAGTGCCGTGTATAATACTTCAAATAATAATTGGGACGTGCCATGTTTTTGGTGCCGTGTATAATACTTCAAATGATAATTAGGACGTGCCATGTTTTTTATTTTTGGTGCTGTGTGTAATACTTCAAATGATAATTAGGACGTGCCATGTTTTTGGTGCCGTGTATAATACTTCAAATGATAATTAGGACGTGCCATGTTTTTGGTACTGTGTGTAATACTTCAAATGATAATTAGGACGTGCCATGTTTTTGGTGCTGTGTGTAATACTTCAAATGATAATTAGGACGTGCCATGTTTTGGGTGCTGTGTGTAATACTTCAAATGATAATTAGGATGTGCCATGTTTTTGGTGCCGTGTGTAATACTTCAAATGATAATTAGGACGTGCCATGTTTTTGGTGCTGTGTGTAATACTTCCAATGATAATTAGGATGTGCCATGTTTTTGGTGCCGTGTGCAATACTTCCAATGATAATTAGGATGTGCCATGTTTTTGGTGCTATGTGTAATACTTCAAATGATAATTAGGACGTGCCATGTTTTTGGTGCCGTGTGTAATACTTCCAATGATAATTAGGACGTGCCATGTTTTTGGTGCTGTGTGTAATACTTCAAATTATAATCATGTGAGTAATTTATTTTATTCACGATTGAATGCAACATTTATCTGAACTGATGACACCATGCCATGTTTCATTTTGTTTGAAGTGGAAGCGAAGGTCAGTGCAACCCAGAGTCAGCGATTGAATCATCTCGACTTGGCTTAAGATAAATCATTCGTTCCCATAGTAACTGATATTCCACGGCTCCGTGATACTACTCGATAAATTAAAGTCCCTTTGCTAGTGTATAAATATGCATGTAGGGAAGTAATCGAAATACAGCGTGAAAGGTATAAGTATAGGGAGGGATTCTGTTTGTTTTTTTGTTTTTTATAGGTTTATCAGGTTTTTGCACTTCAAAGTCTACCTGCATTTATATACGCATCACGTAAAGTACATATACGTACAAGATACCCTTGAAAACCATTTTCTATTTTGGCTTGCAAAGTCAGTGCAGAAATGTGTAATAAAATGAAAAATCAACGTCATTGTCAACGGGTGTAGTAACAAAAGTAATTTGGATATTTCAGACAATTCGAAACATATAACCTCTTTGTTCCACGATGGCATGTATCTTAATGAAACACTAGTTGAATTCAGGTTGGATAAGCCCCAGTTCCCACTTGACATTCATGAAACATTCAAAATTGAATAAAACACGTCTACTTAAGAGTTAAATCATTTACATATTTTAGAATTGCACGAACCCATCCTTCCCGATCCGATGGTAGTTCACGCATGCGTATGCTTTCTTTTATGTATTTATTTTTCACATTTAAGTACTAATGAAAACTAAAATTGATCAACGATCGCACCAGAGATGTTTTTACTTTCAAATGATTGACGGAAGATAATAACGAACTATACCAGTTTATTGAAATGTTATTCCTTATGGTTACTATGGAGCATTACTGAATTCTAATGATATATGCTCCTAATCTATACTAGTATATGCTAGAATAAACAATTGCACATAATACTTTTTTTGATTGAAATAAACTCATTATTACCAGGTACATCACATCTGTGCCAAATCATCGATTTTTCTATTTTAAGTAGAAACATCGCATTTATCAATAAAGTCTAATTCTTTAATGACATTATAAACGGTTTGACTTGTCAAATCATTCACACGTGTCTCGTTGGCATTTAAACTTCGAAAATGATTTATACGTTCGTGTTTTTCGTGTAATCAATTTGGTGCTTTCAATCGTTGCTGTAATTGTTCATTATGTTGCTTTAAATGGATAATCAGTCACATGTTAATTCATAAAAATGCAAGCAATGCAATCAGTTATACTTGAGTAGATTAATCATTACATGTAACGTTACGTTACGTTATATTGCGTTATGTAATGTAATTTTACGTGACGTTATGTTATGCTCTTCTAATAACATCTATAATACACTAATTCTGCAACTGTTGCGATTCGACAGACATCATCAATATTTACAGAAATTGAGAAGGAAAACACAACGCCTAAATGAATAAACACAAGGAGCACACACGTCTCGAACTCGCAACCTCGTGGTTACGGAGCCCAATCGCCAAGCCTGAACGCGCTGGCGTTCAAGCCCTCTCGGCCCCTGAGCTTGACATCTCATCAAATTGTTAAAAAATTCACACACATCAAAATCGATTTCACGTTTCCAGTCAAATTATGAAGAGAGAATGAAACGGTGTTGGCATTTTAGAACAGCGATTAAAAAAAATTTCTTTTAGAACGGCCGGACGATCCAAAAAGAGACAATTTGGTTGTACTCTCTGCTGATTCTCTCTTTAAGAACTAATAAAAATTTGCATTCTATGTTTGAATCTCCCTTTATGAACAATATTCCATATGTCATTTCCAGAACAGGGCAACAACTGCAAATGACTAGAAACTTTGTATTTATATTTTATGATCCTTGGTTTAGATTGCCGATCTCATTTAATGGAAAATAAATACTGATTTATTGACTCGACGATTATAGGTCTGTTAGGTCGGCCATATGTAAAATTCAACGATGGAAAATATTTATGTCAAAATTAACTATATAAATGTTTTTTTTAATAATAACAACGTGCTAATTGGCCGTCGTATACGATTACAGACGACATATCATTCGAAAATCGACGTGCATTTCGTTAATCAGAAATTTCATACACTGACGTCATTCGTTGGCTGACGTATCATTCGTTGAGTGATTATACCATCCGTTAATTAACGTACCATTCGCTAATCATTATAAAATCCGATAATCAATGTACCATAAGTCAATTGATTTTACCATTAGTCAATTGATTTTACCATTCGTTAATTAACATACCATATTTATTAACGTACCATTCGTTTAACTCATTATACAATCCGTTTATCAACGCACTATTAGTTAATTGATTATATCATCCGTTAATCAATGTACCATTCGTTAATCCATTAGACAATCAACGTATCTTCCGTTAATTGACGTACCATTCGTTAATCAACGTACCATTAGTTAACTGATTATACCATCCGTTAATCAACGTACCATTCGTTAATTGATTATACCATCCGTTAATTGACGTACGATTCACAAATCAATTTACCTTTCGTTAAAATAAATATCCCGCATTACCGGTTTGATGTGATCATTTGATATTACTTGACGTACAACCCGTTAATTTTTGTACACACTCTGGGTACCAACTGTTATTTGACGTATCGATCACCGCTCGCTGAATTGCTAGATCTTTAGTAATTGATCCTGAATAGCGAGATGTGGAAGTGAGCTTAATTCAGCGGCTCAACTTGGAACTCATTAAGCTTACAATCCGGTTTGCAGTATCATGGGTTGCGTTTTATCATTATTTTATGCTGGCGGATAAAGGGGAAATGCCCCCCCCCCTTAGTTGGCCCCAGTTTAGTTTTTTGATTGAGGTTTGGTTTCTGGGCGACGGTTCCTTTTCAAAAATGGCCTTAAGTTTTACAAAAAAAACTGGTCCAGAATTTTCACAATTTGTTTTCAAGCACAAGAGAAGGAATTTTCAAAAACAATACAAACTATGCTTGTCGCCCATTGTAAATTTCATGTTGCCCTGTTGCTTAAAAGCTATATTAATTTGTTCAACTGTTGTCGGGCCTAGCACAATTGACTCACCCCTGACATCCACCAAGCATATTCTTTCCTTTCTCCAGGAACGAAACGGTTTACAATTTCATACATCTTATAATATTGCCTATGAGCTACTGATTTCTCTAGTAATATGTTCTCACTATTCTACCATCATCTTTCACTTAAATAGCTTGCTGTGGCTAAAATCCTCAAACATCACATTTTCCTGGTATATCATTGCTCGTATATTTCCGTACTGAATTTGGATTGTAAACAGAATCTGAGCTCCTTTCTCTGTTATTTTTCATCAAGAAATTACACTTTATAAGTAAACAGTTCACGTCTCTAAGACGGACTAAATAACCGGATTTGGATTATAGGATAAACACACATCTT